TACGTTTGTGCTGAGACTGACACTAGTTATTGTAATATGTGGAATATTAATATATGTATCTAAATCGAATCAATCTTTGAGCTAATGCGGAATAAGGTGCTGGGATAAGCTCACTTCACTGGATTTGTTTCGTATTCTGCAAAAAACAGTTTGATCACTGCGGCTAGCTTGTTTTCAAAAATCATTTTAATGCGGTGTGAACTGTTTGATGCTATTATATCAAATTTTGTCGGACAAAGCAATTCTAAGACGCGTTAGTGCAAAATCTTGCTTAGGTGATGTGAAGCATACATTTCCCGGGGGCCAGCATGATACGATTGCAGTGACTGCTTTCCTCATATTTTCGCTCCTTTTTTCAAATTAAAAAGATTAATTCACTTCGCGTGAAGAGAAGTTGAAAACCAAGAATGAAATACCTCAAACAAATCACCAAACGATGAAAATATCTCTTACAACGGGACTCGACGATAGTTTAAATAGACCCGAACTGCAAATGCTTTCTCCGGGCGCAATTAAATGCAAGAAAAACTTTACCAAATGATTACTTTTTTCTAGGTTCTGCGGATTGAGGCACTCGATGTAGAATGATCACATTGGCACCACTTCTTTAATACTTGAAAAAGCTCGAAAAATGACTGAGCTATGATGAAAAGTGCGACGGGACGTCACACCGGGGGACCCACCACTCGGCAGTCCATCACCTTCTTGGAACTACTTCGTGGACGCACACAACCCTCTGTAAAGGGATACTTCAAATGGTCAGGTCATTGGCAAAATTGGCGGGAAAATTGTTCATATGAAAAATCGTGCTGACGCTACGTATTAACCACGCTTCCGTTGGAGCTGTGCGACCGAAATTATCTCCGATTTAAAGAATTGTTAATTCTTTTTCTGACCAGACAAGTACGCAAATATTTTACTTTGGTAGAATGCAGATACGTTTAATTTGGTGGGCGGTTAGACCCAGTGGATATGCCACCACAAACAACCTGGTGGAGCAGCTTAACGATCTGATCAACCGTGACTACACTATCCGGACCAAACATAAGATTGAGGCACTGTTCTAGCTGCTGGTGAATTGTTGCGATCATCAGTCGGTAACTCTAAGAATCTTTGAGGAATCCCCTGAAGCCACCCAGCAGTTATACTCAAGGGTTAAAGAATTTCGCCACCGAGATCTTCTTGTGGATATGACTCCCAGCCTGTCCAGCATCGACTTCCTACTTGTTTCCCCAAACCCAGACGTGATTCGTGTGCCGTCGCGTGGCTGTGAGCGTATCTATCTTCCGGAGCTCGGGCCCACTCGCGAGGTAGCCCTGGTGTCGACCCAGATGGAATTAAATTACGCGCGAATGAAGGGGTTTGGGCAGTCTGAGGGAGGCTGGCATGTGCGTTTGAGTGCGAATCTCGTACTACTTCAAGCTTGCAAACTGCATTCACGTGATTTTTGCTCTGCAGAATAAGAACTACACTGGACTAGGTGATAAAAAGACTATAGTTCTGTGTCTAAACAACGCCGCCGATCGGATACGCCTAGTGCCCGCGAGCCCACCGGTCGCCCACTGGCAAACCGACATGCGTAGAATACGGAGTGAAATTCGTTAGCCGTAAGTACAGTCGCTTCTCGATAAACAAAGAAACTTTAGCTTCGTGTCTATTTCTCAAACTAATAATACCATCACGTTCACCTTCAATATTAATCTAAACTTAAACTAATCTTGGTTTGCTTTCATTTTCCAGCTCACCTCGGCGATGGCAAGCCAACACGACGGGCCCTCAACGGACGCAGCCCAATAACATCATTTCCTGCCCCCTTCAGGTGGTATCAAGCGCACATTCACCCCCGTGGGGTGGGGGCGCCTCGATGAGGTTGCGGCCCGTAACTTTAGCAATTGGGATTATGTTTAACGAGGTGATACCTCAAATACGGCAGACGCAATCAAGTGGCTGACCGATGCTGTGCCAAAAGTACGCATCACCAAGGCCCGCCTCATTGAGGTAGATGCTTTAGGTGATGACGCTGGTGAAACGGAAGGCGTCCAACCGACTGGGGCCGACTTAAGCGGGCTACCACCCTACCAGATGCGGACCATCATCGCTGATCGACGAATTAACGGTCGCGTCTAATTCCTTACCTCTTGGGAGCCGACATGGGAGCCGGCAGCTAATCTCCCCTCAAACGAAATATGTACATACCGTAGGCGCTAGCGGCGCCGAGTAGAGCGCGCCTACGCTGAAACGGAAGTGACAGAAGATTAAACAAGTATCAGCAGGCTCATGATACATATATTCTTCTTTTTTACATAATAAATTCCTGTTTCTTCACCTCATGCAGAGCTATTTATATGATCAACACTAGCAACGCACTAGGCCATCCGCAAGAGCAGTACAGGGTTTTCACCCTTCAACATGCCCCGCACAACCCAGTTGGCCGCTACCAAACCATATTACAGCTCAGCATGTCTGGGTAGAACGTACTGGATGCCGAGGTAGAGCGTAGTGGTAGCGTGCACGTCGGTAGCTGGGCCTTCACTGTGCACGGGCACCGCCGTGCCAGGAATCCCATCGAGGTCCGCGCCCAAGGCCTTTGCTGTCTAGTGAGGAAACTGCCAAATTAGCTGACTGCTCCTCGCTACAAGGGGCAGTCAGCTCATTGGTTAAATGTCGGGACGCCTGAATGACCCACGTCTTACAGAGCCTCTGCCGCAGATCCTCCGGCGTAGTACCAGAGAACAGCCAGCACACGCACGATCTGTGTGGCACGCAGACTGTGCGTGTGCTGGCTGCATTTCGCTTTGTATTTGAGCTCTTTTGTCGTAATGGAGCAGCGCAGCTGAGGCGAGCACTTTAACTACGTCCGCGCGCAGACTCATATACGCGGAAAGGCTGTGCGCAACTACGAAGAGGCGTCCAACCAGCAGTTCAAAACGTTGCCGAACTTTGTCTCAAAGCAGGTCAATGTTAGTAAGCGGGCCGTTGACCTGATAGCCCAACCGGACAATGCCTATGCAACCTTTTGAGCTTCGTGCGTCGTACAAACAATGTAATTGAATGCCTTGCTCATCGCCGTCATGCTCCAACCGCCTTGATCAAGATTCCACGGGGTTCCGATATTGCTATCTATATTGCCCTTTTGGGCGGTCCCTCGTCGGAAAGAATGGGATAACAAGCCTACCGTCAAGCTGTACTTGTCTTAAATGCATTGAGAGCTTCACCTTTGAAGCACGTGGTTCACATACGCGTGAATGCCAGGTACGTTGGTAACTCTTTCACGGAACCTGCATCTCGCGCAAGTGATGACTGTGTGTGTGGCTCTGCTATTTCCCTAGTTTATAGAAGATCATGCAAAAAGATCTCGTCCTGGGGAATTGTCGGTAGGGTCAGCCGTTTGGGGTAACTGGTCCAACGGAAATCCGCTCGGCGTCGAGTGCATCGCTGTCGCAACAGCGAGAGCATGTTTAGGGCAGGATTAGAGATTTTTATGATCGCAATAGAGCGAAGCCGCTTGCTGTGATGCTGACTTCATGCGCTTGAAGCTGATGAATAAACACTCACCTGTCAGAACATATTTTTTACACAAATGTATTAGCGTACATGTATAAAATATAATGTTGGTATACCGAAACTTGGTTTTTCATCAAGTAAAGAGTGTCAGAGGGCCGACCTAACAGATACAACAGAGGCTCGAGAAGGGCAGCATCTTTGTAGTCGTTTGCAGATGTCGCGTGCTTCACGATAGTACCGCATAGAGCGCGTAGGTCGCTTTTGGTGCAAGGTTCGTGAGCTCAGCTCCGCGCTTGGAGAAGTATTTTCAAGAATCGACGCAACCTTTTAAAGCGTCGTTTTGGTACTCCATCTAGAGCTGAAAACATTTCTAAAAGGTGTTTTTCACGTCACCAAAATAGCTAGCGACAGAGTTCTTGGATAGTAAATCGCCCATAGAGTTCTCTTTAAAAAGCTAAAAAGAGGGCGAACTTGTCAAATCATGTTACCAGTCGTGTCTGTGCTGACTACCTCGTAAATTATCTTGAGTGTCAGACGCTCAGCGATTGCAAATCGTTCGAATGCGTTGAGTACCGTTGAGCGCGCTCGTTGCGTGTTCCCTGGAATCAGCGCCATCGGGGACATCACTCTCGTTGCTGAGTGGATGCAAACCGCCTCGTCTGTCATATCTCTCGAATATGATCGATGTCCGAGTATGTCCGGTATTTAAGATTAAATATTTAGATTACTGATGTTTACTAAAGGTAATATTCATTATTTTGAAATATTCGGACATAACATGTCCGAGTTCGGCTCTTCTCAAACACAGGATCTTTACGTACATTTCATTGGCCAAAATGAATTATTGCAGAATTGTGATTGGCGCTACTCTATTGCAAATTTTTCTTGAAATAGACTTGTGCACGCTATTCTACCATACCATAAAATATCCGACCTCCGACCTTAAAGGACCTGTGCCAATAATTTGGTACATCACACAAAAAAAGTCAAAGCACTTTATTTGACAGTCACGGTACTTAACGGTAATCAATGTGTTTGGATGTGCAATGATGCCAAAGCGCAAATTGAAAATTCAGAAGAGAGCGTGTTGTGTCAAGTTTATAGACAGCTCAGAATTGCATGAAACGGCCTGTAGGCTGAGAAAACGCAAAAATCCTGCAAATTCAGTAAATAAGAAAATGAAGCCGAAAGTGGTGGCGATCCGGATAATCAGACGCTGTCCGGGTACTCGAGGATAGTGACAGCCAGCCATCGATAAACGAGCATGATTGGGCAATCAACGTCCAATAACAAGACACCATTTGGCTCCGTACATCCAAACAACCAGTCAGTTTCCAGCCGCAGACAGCCAACCGATGTTGTCGACAGCACGATCACGGCCTCACTCTTCATTTTTTTCGCTATTGAGCAGACCTTCTCCTTGGTCTCTGAGACCGCACAGGCCGTCCAGGTCGCACCGTAAGTATCCGCTAAGGAACCGCTGCCTCCCCTTGAGCGACAGCGTAGCTCAATGGTGAGAGCGCAGGTCAATGCCCTGAGGATGTTGGTTCGAATTAACCGTTGTGTTTTTTTACTCTGCTGTGTATGTTTACTGCTCTTGCTGTTTTTTTTTTACTACTATGAGCGCAAGTTCATTTATTGACTAGCGTTGTATACATTCAACATGCAGAGGCGGACACAGCTTAGAAAATATGGGGGGCAGTAATGTGTTATAAGATATGCACTCGGCGGCGCTTTTAGGGATACCATCAGAGTCTGAAAAAAAAAGTTGGCAGCCAAGCATAAAAAAATTATGTCTTAAGGACTTTGAGCTTCGGCAAACGATTGATAATAAATTAGCTGGGTTGATAAAACTGGTACAAAAAGGAAATATAGCATAGGCTAGCATGCTGAATATCAACGCGAGATACCGAGATAAGTACTGTATCCGATAGCGCTTGTCTTGAAGACGGAGAGAGAGAATAAGCTGTGGTCTTTGGGCGCACAGCGCTCCAAAAATGGATGGTGTGTGTCTTTTCTATGAAAAATTGTATTGCTTCAAATGTTGCGAGGATATACAATATTGCAGTTCCAACTGCGCAATCTATGCTGTGATTTACAAATGGAGCTAGAAATGTCGGCTAATGCGGGTATTTGTCTAGACCTCTGGATACCATAAATCGAGCAAAAAACAGCTGCTGTGCAGCAGTGTTTTGGCGTTTTAGGGCCAACGCTTCCCGTTATTCTGTAGAAGTGTCCTCCCACTTAAGATGCCAGCATTGTACGTCAACCTTCTTCTTATTGTCCGTCATGGATCCTTCTCGAAGATGTCGACTTCAACCTTTCTCAGATTTTAGCTGCCCAATATAGCAGAATCTACCTCCCAAACTTAAATTTTGTATGTGTTTGAAAGATGGATTGATGCCCACGTTTAATTTGGAAACCCAAAATCAGACTTAATACATTGGCTCATATTAAAATTCACTTAGAGTTCGCATTAAAGTTTCCGACAATTGCTTTCACTGGTCATTCTCGGTTTTGCTACCGTCTCGCTCAAGTGTAGGTCCCACCGTTACCCTTCAGGGGGGGAGGGGGTCACAAGCGCTTTCATATCCCTTCAGGCGACAGTGATCCGGCTTAGGTCACCGTGGCACTCGTGTCTTGGCTTCTTAGCATCTTAACAGGATCGCCAATGGCTCATTAGAGGGCGAAAATCCGGTTATCCGGCTCCCGTGAATTTCCAGTCTTTGACCGTTTGTACTTTACACGGTGGCAATTTAAGAGAGTCAGGAAAATTTAAACTTAAAAGAGTAAAATGTACTCTGGAGTAAGGGGCTAATAGCCCGAACATGTCAATTTAATTTTAAAGGGCTAGGTGATGATTAAAAATAAGGTTTTAGCGTTAAAATCATATTTTACAAAGCCCTTTCACTTAAATGATCCCTTGACTGCTAACTTTATTTCTGACTTTGTTGTTTTAGCTGAATTTTCCAGTTTGACTTGTAAATGTACCTTTGCAGCCAAAAGCTTTCATAAATCGGAGTTTTTCAAACTGACTTTGGCTTAAGGCATTAGTTAAAGCGTCCGCTATTATACGCTTGTGCTACAATAAGTAACCCAGATTTAGTTATCTTCATGCACATCCCAAACAAAAAATTCCTAATATCAATATGCTTTGTAGATGAGTGACTTCAAGGGTCTTTAATGGTACTAAAAGCGACAGTAATATCGCACCAACAATGAGTCGGTAGTATTTGCTCATATCCTATTTTTTGCAGTAGTAGTCCTAACCACATCGCCTCTCTTACTCTTTCACTAGCAGTTACTAATTCCGATTCCGCTGTATTAAGACTAATACAATTTTGCTTAATATTTTTCCAAGTAATGCATGCCCCAGCAAGTATTGATACATATCCTGTAATTGATTTCCTTTCTTCAGATGCATTCGCGAAGCTCGCATCTATGTATAGCTCTAAATTAATAGTACTTTTGCCATTGTACTCGATGCCATACCTCGACGTTCCTTTCAAGTACTTTAGTACTCGCTGAGCCGCTCTCCAATAATTCTTATTATTGCAAGAAAGATATTTACTTAATTTTCTCACAGTGTTAGCTTTATCAGATCTAGTACCTCTGACTAGATACACTAATTATCCAGCTAAATCTCTGTAATTAAATGGCTATGTCACTTTTTCTTCAGGTTTAAGCTTAGTTTTCTTTTCTAAAATCACACCTTTACCTTGTGGTGTTGCAAAATATCTAATCTCAAACGTTTCTAGGAGGTCGTTAATATACTTTTGCTGAGATATGCGAAGCGTCTTATTTGCTAGGTCTCTTTATTCTCCATTATAAGCAGGTAGTGTAATTTGCCCAAGTCTTTCATATTAAACTTGTCAGACAGCTTAGCTTTAAGCTCATTTATTGTACTTTAATTTAAGCCTGCAATTGTCAGGTCATCCACATATACACACACTATTATGACATGCTTAACTCCATTATTCCCACCTTTTTAGATACAAGTAATGTTCTTTCTTGCATCTAAAAAAACCTAACGGCTTTAAAAAGTCATTCCAAACTTCATACCAAAAACTGGGAGCTTGGTTCAGTCTATGTAGGCTTTTTTTGTGACGTATTTTCCGTCAAGGCTCGTGCCCTTAGCGTGTACGAGGAGGCACGCAGCCTAAACGATGATTGGCTTACAGGCACGTTTCCTGTAAGGTGATTGGTGGAAGGGATAATGTTCTGCATTTTGATTAGCTAATAAGGGTCACGCTTCCTCTGCTATTACACAGTAGCACTTGTAAAGTCCAAGCTTCGCCTTGTCCAAGAAATCGACCCTCGCGTCGAAATTTTTTCAAGAACTGCAAATAGTGATGGAAGAGACCACCACGCCGCAAACCGTTGAAGGTCTTCTCCAGTTGCTGGTCAGACAGCAGTCTGAGTCAGGGATGCCGCAAATGCAATACTCAGATTATTACATCCATGATCAGAGGCGCCAATTAATAATTTATTTATTTAAGTTATTCCTACCCATTCTCGGGCGTACCTCGTCCATTGCATTGACATCCCACAAGTCGTGATTATAGCATAGACACATGATCATCTCGAGCGTTTCAGGGACACATATGGATAACGAGTGGCAGTCAAAAGGGACTTGGCACCGTTGCAAAAAAGCTGGCCACATTGCGCTAAACAGCCCTTCAAAATAGCTCTCTTTCAAAACGGGGTCGTGTGACGTATTTTACGTCAAGGCTCGTGCCTCTAGCGTGTTGCGTACGAAGAGACACGCAGCCTAAACGCTGATTGACTTACAGGTATGTTTCCTGTAAGGTGATTGGTGGAAGGGATAACGTTCTGCGTTTTGATTAGCTAATAAGGTTTAGCTTCAACTTGTAGGGTCATATTGTCTGTAGCAAGGATATCTAACCTTAATTCACTTTTCAATTTACCATCAAGTGACTACGCATCCTCTGCTATTACATAGTAGCACTTGTAAAGTCCAAGCTTCGCCTTGTCCAAGAAACCAACCCTCGCGCCGAATTTTTTTCAAGAACTGCAAAAAGTGATGGAAGAGACCACCACGCCGCAAACCGCTGAAGGTCTTCTCCAGTTGCTGGTCAGACAGCAGTCTGAGTCAAGGATGCCGAGAATGCAATACTCAGATTATTACATCCAGGTCAGAGGCGTCATTTAATCATGATCATCTAGAGCGTTTCAGGGTCAAGACGCTTGTGTAGGCCGGATAGCACCAGTTTCGCCATTGAGAAGAAGCGCTCGCGCTCATTAGAAGTCGGTGGAATGAACGCGACATTCACGTAGTGCGAGCGCTTCGTCGACTTGCGCTTCTTGAAAGCTGCACGTACGATGAAGAACTCTCTGTGACTGCTGAGGCCTGTGCTAAAGTTAACAATCTAAATCCAGCACAAGCCGCCTTCTGCTTGTCCACTCGTCCAAAACGATTCCGAACGAATCGGGTAACTCGCTTGCAACACGACGCTCGATGAGGTCGAACAGCAGCTCCATAGACTTCTTTAGCGTCTCTACCGACACAGAGGAGAGCGCCGAGTTCGGGCGCGTTAGCTGTCGCTCTACAAAGGCAAACGGGAGGCGGTCGCTGACAACACACTCGCCCCCAATGGTACAGGTCCCGTGTGCGCTGGCTCACGAGACGTAGGTTTAGCGGGCTCTGGCGGCGTGCAGCCTCCTCTGCATCTTGCTCGTAGTCTTCATGGTTGCGACGCAAATGGTTCAGTAGATTCGTGTAGCCATTTCCTTTCTTGTACTGCTTATTGCACCTTGTGCACTTGTACCGTATTTCGCATGTGGAGAGCTGCACCCTCATATGAGTTGCACCTAGATATTGACCAATCACATTCGGCTATCTTGAACTGAGGAAATCGCATGTAGAGAGATGCACCATTCCGAAGCCAACCTAGTCTTTGCGGCAAAATTCGCGCCGGCAGTCGGTCATTTGCCATGACACGCACGAAACCTCGCCCAGTGGGCAGACCACGTGTCGGTGGTAAAGGACACCACCAGACCAAAAACACGGTCAAGAGCATCACGGTGCAGAAGAAGTTACAATTTTTGTCGTTTTGGGAAAATGCTCCTCTTCCTAAAATGCGTCATACAATTGATCAATTTTGGCACGATCTAAATCCTGATTTTTACAACTCAAAGCGCACTATGATTCAGCGCTGGCGACGAGAGGAAACAAAGCTAAGGTCAGCATTGAAGAAGAATAAAGGTGGCTATCAAAAGGTGAGGAGCTTAGACGTAGGAACGATTCTGAGTAAGGAGGTAGAATTAGAGATTGTGTAGTGGGTGAACTGTTTAAGGGAAGAGGGTGTACCAGTATCGCCTCAAATGCTAGCGATTCAAGCGCGTCAGACTGCCATGGAAGCTGGCATCAACGCGTTTAGAGCTTCAGATAAGTGGATTAAGGGCTTTAGACTTCGACACCGCCTGAGTATGCGTGTACCTACTCGTCAAGGGCAAGTCAGGCTTTCGGATGCTGACAAGGTAAAAGTAGCATTTGCTATTGAAGTCGAGAGGAAGGCTCGTCAGTTGGGATCCGCACATTTTTAATGCAGACCAAACAGGTTCGTTTTTATTTTTATTTTTACTTGATTTTATTGAAACGCTTTTTATTTAACTTTTTTATTTTAGCTGCTTTCTTTGAATATTTGCCTGTGAAGAGAACGATCAGTAAACGCGGGGCCAAAACCGTTTGGGTAAAGTGTGCTGGCGTCTCTAAAGAAAAAGCTACGGTAATGCTGCTGGGAGACTCTGACGGGACTAAATACACCCCGTTCGTCATCTTCAAGATAAATCCATCCAAGATTAAGAGGACTCATATCTAAAATATCGAAAAGCGCTTTTGATTTGGTGTTAGAACGTGGCCGGAGATCAAGCGCCTTCAAGAAGAGACCAAATTGCAAATATGCACGAATGCAAAAAGTATGTGTTAAAAGCGATTTGATAATAGTTGTATTCATTCTAATTATTTTTTATATAGGCTGGTGGAATATTTATCTATCGCTGAAGTTTCTGAAGTTCCACTTTGATCGCTCCGAGAGGAGCCGGTGCTTCTCCTTTGGGACGATTTTAGCGGTCATTGAACCGCAGAGGTTCTTGCCTACGCTGCTTCAATCAACGTCGTGTTGATGAAGGTGCCACCAAATGCTACGTCTGTCTGTCAACCGGCAGACGTAGCATGGAACCATCCTTTTAAAAGCGGACTACGTAGGTGCTGGCTCGAAAATTTGCAAGAACAGCTGCAAAAGCCAAGAGAAGAGGGATCAAAGTTCAAGCTAGCGCCGCCTGGACGCGCGGGAATGTGCCGATGGGTGTGCAGCAGTTGGGAAGCTCTGAGCGCTGAAACCATCCAAAATGGGTACAAGAAGTGCGACTTGCGTTTCGACACCGACTGCCTTGCGGCTGCGTCTTTGGTGGAGGGGTTTCAGCGACAATCGCTAGTAGGGTCAAGTACTGACGAAGATCACGATTTTGATAGATGGCTCACCGCAGAAGAGGATGGCAACGTGAGTGCTGACATAGCCGTCGTGTAAATACACTTTTTCTAAAGAAAAAAAGGTTTCTGTATATTTTGATTGTGTCTTTTGAATATGTATTTATCCGGGTTTGATTTGCTATGTGAACATTAGGTGCATCTCTCTACATGCGAAATACGATACATACCCTCTCCTTCTGTAGTGAAGAGCATAGAGCAATTTGACTGCTAGTAAGGACCATTTTGTGCGCGAAAAGTGCTGTTACTGGTGGTTGGCTGCTAAAATGGCTTGTGCACTTCTGTTTCCTTGGTTTAACACGTCATCTGGGGTGCTGTGGCAAATGGTTGGTGCGGGACAAACGTGCTTAGACCTTTGGGTTCTCTTAATCAATTCATATATGAATGTTGACAAATTCAAATAAGGATTGGTGATGTAGGAATTAATATTTGAGTTTTAGCATTCGAATTAGTTATTAGGAGTATTATTTTTTCGGCATCCCTGGTCTGAGTTCCAAGGCCTTATGCATCAGCAGATGGCTGCTAGCCAAGCTCGCATCGACGCGTTCACCGCACGGCCAACCCTGGCCCGCAAGCATCAACCACCGTCGTATGAGGGCAAGCTGGACGAAGACCTCAAGCTATGGATGAATATCATCACTTATCGGACCTCACTTAAGTTTATTATCAGCATTAATGGTCAATCATATATTTATTTGTTTTGGATAACCAATCATATCCAAATAATATGTCAGTCTTGGCCAATCAATCCGTCAAGGGTTAGGTTGGTCATCTAAACTTCACATCGGTCCGAGGGGCACGAAAATATGTGTATCTTCTAACAAATATTAAGATGCCGGCGTATCACACGCATATTTTCATTTTATCCGACCGGCGTAATTATTTCGGTACAAGCGACTCCATAAGCGCTTTTAAATTGTGTTGTATTCATACCGTAGCAATTTCTCGAAAGCGCTTAAATGGCAACATGATGCATGCAATTAAGAGCCTCTGTGATGACGAGATGCAGTAGCTACACTTGTAGCTTCTAAAAGCTTCCGTGAGGTGGTGCATTGCGAATTCTTATTATTGTACGCGTTATTAAGGAGACGTTGACAAGTTGCATCAATTACTTGGACATGTTTTACATTATTTAACGCTCGCTAGCTACACGTAACTACTGAGAGCATCGAGCTCTATATCGACACGACGGGACATGCATCTGGACTTGGTGCTTCGCCAGCGGGCTACCAGCCGGCAGCATGCTTCCCGCCCTGCCGGGTGGGGCAACAGCTCTTGCGGGGTCTGCACGGAGCCTAGCGGTGGCATCCTTGCTGCAGGTGGTAGAGTACAGCCAGAGTCCGGAGCGCCACCTGCAGGAACACACCCAACGGACAGCCTGCCGCCCACCCTGCCGGGCAAGCCGCCACAGCCCTTGAGGGTCCGCCCGCTGCTGATATCCCCCTTGCTCCTTCCACACTTGCCCTTTCTGGCCTTGCTGCCGTTCCTCTTTTCGTCGCCGCCACCCTCCTGCCACACGTGTCGCCGCCGCCGTCGTCGCCCCTCGCCACCTTCCTCCTGCCTTGGCTGTAAAATAAAAATGTTAGTGTGTGGCCCACAACATCTAATTTTAGACTTTATATATTTGTTTTGAGGGTTGTTATTATTATGTACCATGCATTTAGTACATGTCCGATAAGGTCATCCGGTCCGATAAATTTTGGTATGGATGAATATCATCATT